TAGTACATTCTATTACCTAGCCATAGGAACTGGTTTGAGACCATTCGCACAACTACGCAGCACGTGGCGCTTGTTTGTGCGTTTGATGGCATAAAACTGTGCAGGGATAGGCATGAACGCAACATGTCACCATTTAATCGTTTGGATGTTTTGTTTAGCCCTATTTATTCTCACATTCAGGTAATAAATCCTATTCCCTAGCCACAGGAACTGGTTTGAGACCATTCGCACGACTACGCAGCATGTGACGCTTGTTTGTGCGTTCGATGGCATGAAACTGTGCAAGGATAGGCACGTATGCAACATGTCATCGTTTAATCATCTGAATGTTTTTTTAGCCCTATTTCTCCTCACATTCAGGTATAACATCCTATTCCCTATCCATAGGAACTGGTTTGAGATCATTCGCACAACTAGGCAGCACGTGACGCTTGTTTGTGCGTTTGATGTCATGAAACTGTGCAAAGATAGGCATGTACGCAACATGTCACCGTTGAATCGTTTGGATGTTTTTTTTTAGCCCTATTTCTCCTCAAATTCAGGTATTACATCCTATTACCTAGCCATAGGAAGTGGTTTGAGATCATTCGCACAACTACGCAGCACGTGACGCTTGTTTGCGCGTTTGATGGTATGAATCTGTGTAGGGATAGGCATGTAATCAACATGTCACAATTTTTTTGTCTGGATGTCTTTTTTAGCCCTATTACTCCTAACATTCAGGTATTACATCCTATTCTCTAGCTAGAGGAGTTGGTTTGAGATCATTCGCACAACTACGCATCACGTGACGCTTGTTTGCGCGTTTGATGGTATGAAACTGTGCAGGGTCCGTGGGCAGGGTCACGAGCGCTACTTCCTGCTGGTGGTTGACGACTACTCGCGTTACACCACAGTCTTCCCCTTGCGCAGCAAGGGTGATGTCACCGAGGTGTTGATCGACTGGATCCGCGCAGCTCGTCTCCAGCTCAGGAAGAGTTTCGGCTCGGACTTTCCTGTTCTGCGTCTGCACTCGGACAGAGGCGGAGAGTTCTCCTCCGGCCTTCTGTGAGCCTACTGTCGTGCACGAGGCATCCGCCAAACCTTCACGCTTCCGGACTCTCCACAGCAGAATGGGATTGCTGAGCGCCGCATCAGCATGGTCATGGACGTCGCCCGTACGTCCATGATGCATGCGCCTGCCCCCCATTTTCTGTGGCCGTTTGCGGTTCGGTACGCGGCGCATCAGATCAACCTTCAGCCCAGGGCCTCCATGCCGAAGACCTCCCCAGCTCTGCTGTAGACGGGGAAGGTTGGCAATGCGTCGGCGTTCCGTGTCTGGGGATCTCGGGCGTTTGTCCGCGACTTGTCCGCGGACAAGCTGTCCCCTCGTGCTGCTCCTTGCGTCTTCCTGGGTTTCCCCCCTGACGCACCTGGGTGGCAGTTTTACCACCCCACCTCTCGTCGTGTTTTGCCCTCCCAGGACGTCACGTTCGACGAGTCGGTCTCCTACTACCGGCTCTTCCCCTACCGCACTCCGTCCCTTCCCCCGCCGCCGCTCTTCTATGTCCTAGGTCCCCCCCCGGTAGACCCCCTTCCCCCTCAGGGTCCTGCCCCTTCAGGTGTGTCCCAGGTAGACGCTGCTGAGCCTGTCGAGGTCACTGGTGACTCTGGTGCTGCTGGGGGTGCTGAGCCTGGGGGTGCTACGCCTGGGGGTGCTGAGACTGGGGGTGCTGAGCCTAGGGGTGCGGAGTCTGGGGGTGCTGAGCCCGCTGCTTCAGTTCCTACCGGTTCTCCGGGTCTTCCTTCCCGCCGGGAGCCGCTCTCTCCACTGGAGCTGCGTTAGTGGTTTGCTCGGCGCTGGAGGCGAGCTGCTGGAGCTGGAGGTGCTGCGGGTACTGGTGGTTCTGTTACTGCTGAGGGAGCTGGTGCCACGGGTCCGGGAGGTGCTCGTACTGAGAGTACTGGAGCTGCCGGGCCCGGGGGTGCCTCTGGAGCTGGAGCTGCTGCGGGTACTGGCGCGGAGTCTGCGGCTGTTGGTCCTGGAGGCGGTCCTGCTGGGGGTGCCTCTGGAGCTGGAGCTGCCGCGGGTGCTGGCGCTAAGTCTCCGGCTGTCAGGCCTGTAGAGGGTACTACTGGCGCTGCTGGATGTGCTGGAGTTGGAGCTGCTACTGGTACTAGCACTGCCTCTGGAGGTACTGGTGCTGTCCCTGCTGAGTCTGGAGTTGCTGCGCGACCTCGGCCGTACTTCGTTCCGCTCCTTCAGCAGGTTCTTGGTCTCCCGCCTTCCACTGGTCCTTCTCCTCCCTTAGAGTGTCCGCAGCCTGTCCCGTCGCAGTTACAGTTACAGCCCACCTCTCCACTGCCTTCTCCGTCTCCGTACACTGGTCCTACTGGAGGTCTTGCTGAGCATCGTGCGCCTGCATCCCGCCCTGCGTCGCCTGTCCGTGCTGCTCGCCCTAGTGGTCGCGGTTCGCGTCAGCGTCCTCCTCCTGTCCCTGGCACGCACCGGATGTCTCTGCGTCCGTCCACTACTCCTCTGCGTGCCCCTTTGCCTTCTCCTCCTCAGTCGTCTCTTCCTGCACTTGCCGACCCAGAGTCAGACTCTCTTCGTGCTGCCAGTCCTACTGTCACGCGTCTCCTTGTGACTGTTGTCACTGACCCTTCCTTTGAATCCACTGCTGCGTCTGCCTTTGTTGCTGAGCTGGTTGACTTTGTTGCCGCGTATCGTCTAGACTACGCCGCCAGTCTTGTTGTTGAGTCTGAGTCTGTTGAGTCTGCGTCTGCCTGTCCTCCGTCCGTCGGGGGTGACTGTGCTCTTGGCACGGACGTCCTTGAGGACACGCAGGAGGAGTTCCAGTGCTTTGCCGCCGCTTTGCCCCATCTCGTGTCCATGCTTGTTGCCCCTGAGGGAGACTCGGATGCTCTAGACATCCCGACCCCACGCTCTTACGCAGAGGCGATGGCCGGTCCCTACTCCTCTCAGTGGCAGTCAGCCATGGATGCAGAGATGGCTTCCTGGAAGTCCACAGGCACCTACGTCGATGAGGTTCCCCCACCTGGGGCGAACATCGTCAGTGGCATGTGGATTTTCAGGGTGAAGCGGCCGCCGGGTTCTCCGCCTGTCTTCAAGGTGCGGTACGTGGCTCGTGGCTTCAGTCAGCGGCATGGAGCTGACTTCTTCCAGATCTTCTCCCCGACCCCGAAGATGACCACTCTTCGGGTTCTGCTGCATGTCGCCGCTCAGCGTGACTACGAGCTCCACTCTCTTGACTTCAGCACTGCGTTTTTGCAGGGCCGCCTGCACGAGGAGATCTCGCTACGCCGCCCTCCGGGTTTCACTGGGTCGTTCCCTCCTGGTACCCAGTGGAGCCTCCGGCGGCCGGTCTACGGTCTCCGCCAGGCGCGGCGTGAGTGGCACGACACACTGAAGACTACATTGTGGCTCTTGGGTTTGCTCCCTCTACTGCTGACCCGTCATTGTTTCTACGCACCGACACCTCGCTGCCGCCGTTCTACATCCTCATGTACGTCGACGACTTGGTCTTTGCCACTGCGGACACTGCCGCACTCGCCCACGTGAAGTCCGAGCTGCAGAAGAGACACACGTGCACAGACCTGGGTGAATTGACAAGCTATCTTGGCTTGCGGATCACCCGGGACAGAGCAGGCCGCACCATTACCCTGACTTAGTCACACATGGTGCAGCAGGTCCTTCAGCGCTTCGGCTTCACGTACTCCTCGCCTTAGTCAACTCCTCTGCCTATAGGACACTCGCTCTCAGCTCTGCCTTCGGATGAGTCCGTAGAGCCGAGTGGCCCGTATCCAGAGCTTGTGGGTTGCCTCATGTACCTGATGACCTGCACTCGACCTGACCTCGCATACCCTCTCAGCATCTTAGCACGCTATGTTGCTCCCGGCCGTCACCGGAAGGAGCACATGGATGCAGCTAAGAGGGTGTTGCGCTACTTGTGCAGTACGTCGGGCATGGGGCTAGTGCTTGGAGGGCGAGACTGGCCTGTTCTCACTGGGCACTCAGACGCTTCTTGGGCGGACCACCAGGCTACTCAGCGGTCGTCTCAGGGTTACACCTTCAGTCTTGGCTCTGGCTCTGTCTCTTGGCGTTCTACACACTCTTCTTCTGTTCTCAGCTCCAGCTGTGAGGCTGAGATCTACGCCACGGCCATGGCTGCCTAGGAGCTTTGCTGGCTCACCTACCTGCTGACTGACCTTGGAGAGCGGCCTCGTTCTCCTCCAGTGCTGTACGTCGACAACAAGGCAGCCATTGCCTTGTGTGAGGAGCACAGACTGGAGCACAGGACGAAGCACATTGCTCTGCGGTACTTTCTTGCTCGAGAGCTGCAGCAGCGCGGTCAGCTTCGTCTGCGTCACGTGGCCACTAAGGCCAACACTGCTGATGTGTTCACCAAGGCGCTTCCGCCTTGTGACCATCAGCGCTTTTGCACTCTTCTAGGTCTTGTGCCTACTGAGCCTCACTTGCTTACCTCTTGACCTTGCTTGTACTGTTGCATGTATATACCTGCTCTTGCTTGTTTAGCACTGTTATATATATGCTGTGTTGCATGTGAACTGGCCTTGTGGCCTTGAACTTGTGCTCAGAATGTGTGGTGACGGTTTGATCCACCCTGTGCTTGCTTTGCTTTGCTTTGCTTGACTGGTCTTGTGACCCCTTGTTCTCCCCCACTTTGCCTATGGGGGTGTGTCAGATTACTGTAGCTGATGCATGTTTGTAGGCTGTAGTGGGGTAGCTCATATGGGGTACAACTTTCTAGGGCTGTATTTGTACCCAACTTTGACTTAGTCATGTCATTCTTGTCTCAGATTCTCACAAGATAGGCATTGATTACATTATGCACATTTGTAATGCTTTAGAGCACAACTATTGCATTTAAAGGTAAATGTTTTAGAATCAAAGTCTGTGTAGATAATGTGCTATTATTACATTTTTCAGTTCGCCAGCACAGCAGTTTGGTTCGAGGCCCAGAGCCAATGGGACACGGATGCCCAGTTCCGGGCCTCGATCTAGGTGTCCCGAGGCTCAAATATATGGTCGACCCCGCCAAATGAGCACTTTGACGAATCAGGGGATTTCCAAAGCTGCCAACATGTCTGCCCAAGCAGTTTCGAGAGTCCCGAAGCAGCAATGCCTGATTTCGTTTCGACGCGACGCGTTGAAAGCATCTTTCCCCACTCTGTTGAACAAGGTACTTCAAACATACCCCACGAAACCCTACTTTTTGAGGGGCCCCATTTTTGGGATGTTTGCGTGCACATACGCGTGCGTGCGTGCATATGTGCGTGCGTGCGCGCGCGTGCGTGGGCATGCGTGAGAGCAAGCGTGCATGTGTGTGTGCGTGCGCGTGCGTGCGGGTGTGCACCTATATGTATTCTTATCATTCAGTGCATGTGCAAAAAAATGCACAAGTCATGTTGCCACACGTCCCTCAGGGCGTATTCCAGCGCAGGGACACCATCCGAAGTTGGGACACCTGGTTGACTTTTTCATTTGATTTCGAATGAAGGTCTATTTATTATGATACCCCGTAGTTCGAAAGGCTGGTTTGATTCTCAAACCCAATCTTGCGTCAGAAGTAACTTTCTTGATATGTTGGGCGAACTCCTGTTTTCCGCGCCTACTCAACTCACTGACACGTGTAACGTGCGGTGTACTGAAATTGTGCAGTTTTTAGTGTGCATATTCCAGAATTGAAAATTTCAAAGCATTGTGTCTAGGTCACGTTGAACTAGGGGAAGTAGGCATGCAGCACGAGAAAACGCTCAAAGTGTCCCCACTTCGCATGGTGTCCCTGCGTTGGAATACGCTCTCAGCCTTCACATCCCGGTGCTCACACCTCCCTTTCCCCCAACTGCCATCTGCGCCTTGAGACACAACACACATCCTTTTTACTCCCCTCCCCTGCTCTCCCCTTCACCCTCTCCCCTTCCCTCTCTCTCCTTCCCTCTCTCCCTTTCCTCTCTCCCATTCACCCTCTCCCCTTCCCTCTCTCCCCTTCCCTCTCTCCCCTTCCTCTCTCCCCTTCACCCTCTCCCCTTCCCTCTCTCCCCTTCCCTTTCTCCCTTTCCTCTCTCCCCTTCACCCTCACCCTTTCCCTCTCTCCCCTTCCCTCTCTCCCCTTCCTCTGTCCCCTTCACCCTCTTCTCCTCCTGTCGGGAGCTGTTCTCAGGTCAGCCCATCCACGCCATCAGCAGCTCGCTCCTCTCCCACCCCTCCACCAACCCATTCACCCATTCTCGCAACCGTCCCGCCACACCCCTTCGCGACTCTCCCCTTACCCTCGCATCACGCCCATCCCTTTCTCTTTGCTTCCAGCCATGTCGCGTCGCTTCCTGTAATGTCGCGTCGCTGCTTATCGAGTCCTAACCCTCGCCTTTCAGCCGCGTTGCTGCTTATCCGGTCCTAACCCTCGCCTTTCCTAGCGAAGGACCTGCTCTGAAACCATGTCAAAAGTACGAAACAGGAATGAATGAACTAGAAGTGAAATGAGTACAAGTACCTAGCCCTAGAATTGTGTACCCCCTATAGGCTAACCCACTGTAGCCTAAACAAGCACAACATATAATGTTTGACACACCCCCATAGGCAAAGTGGGGGAGAACTAGGGGTCACAAGACCAGTGAAGACAAAGCAAAGCAAAACAAGCTCAGGGTGGATCTCAAGGATACCACACAAATTCCGAGCACAAGCAAGTGGTCATAAGAACAGTTCACATGCAGGTTCATAATAGAGCAAGAGGTACAATGATCACAACCTAGCAAGAGTGAACATGCAGGTATATATATAGAGATCACACTACAAACAGAGTCAAGAAGTAAGCAAGTGAGGTCCAGTAGGCACAAGGCCCAGAAGAGTGCAAAACCGCTGATGGTCAACAGGCGGAAGCGCCTTGGTGAACACATCAGCAGTGTTGGCCTCAGTGGCCACGTAACGTAGACGGAGTTGACCACGCTGCTGCAGCTCTCAAGCAAGGAAGTAGCGCAGAGCAATGTGCTTCGTTCTGTGCTCCAGTCTATGCTCCTGACACAAGGCAATGGCTGCCTTGTTGTCGACGTACAGCACTGGAGGAGAACAAGGCCGCTCTCCAAGGTCGGCCAGCAAGTAGGTGAGCCAGCGTAGCTCCTGGGCCGCCATGGCTGTGGCGTAGATCTCAGCCTCACAACTGGAGCTGAGAACAGAAGAAGAGCGTGTAGAACGCCAAGAAACAGAGCCAGAGCCAAGACTGAAGGAGTAACCCTTAGACGACCGCTGAGTAGCCTGGTCGTCTGCCCAAGAAGCGTATGAGTGCCCAGTGAGAACGACTCAGTCTCGCCCTCCAAGCACTAGCCCCATGCTCGACGTACTGCACAAGTAGCACAGCACCCTCTTAGCTGCATCCATGTGCTCCTTCCGGTGACGGGCGGGAGCGACATAGCGCGCAAGGATGCTAAGAGGGTATGCAAGGTCAGGTCGAGTGCAGGTCATTAGGTACATGAGGCAACCCACAAGCTCTGGATACGGGCCACTCGGCTCTACGGACTCATCCGAAGGCAGAGCTGAGAGCGAGTGACCGGTAGGCAGAGGAGTGGGCTGAGGCGAGGAGTACGTGAAGCGGAAGCGCTGAAGGACCTGCTGCACCATGTGTGACTGAGTCAAGGTGATGGTGCACCGTGCTCTGTCCCGGGTGATCCGCAAGCCAAGATAGCTTGTCAGTTCACCCAGGTCTGTGCACGTGTGTCTCTTCTGCAGCTCCGACTTCACGTGGGCGAGTCCAGCAGTGTCAGCAGTGGCAAAGACCAAGTCGTCGACGTACACGAGGATGTAGAGCGGCGGCAGCGAGGTGTCGGTGCGTAGAAACAGCGACGGGTCAGCAGTAGAAGGAGCAAACCCAAGAGCCGCAAGTGTAGTCCTCAGTGTGTCGTGCCACTCACGTGGCGCCTAGCGGAGACCGTAGACTGGCCGCCAGAGGCTCCACTGGGTACCAGGAGGGAACGACCCAGTGAAGCCAGATGGGCGGCGCAGCCAGATCTCCTCGTGCAGGCTGCCCTGTAGGAAAGCAGTGCTGAAGTCAAGAGAGTGGAGCTCGTAGTCACGCTGAGCAGCGAGGTGCAGCAGAACCCGAAGAGTGGTCATCTTCAGGGTCGGGGAGAAGGTCTGGAAGAAGTCAACTCCCTCTCGCTGACTGAAGCCTCGTGCAACGTAACGCGCCTTGAAGACAGGCGGAGAACCCGGCGGCCGCTTCACCCTGAAGATCCACATGCCACTGACGATGTTCGCCCCACGTGGGGGAACCTCGTCGACGTAGGTGCCTGTGGACTTCCAGGAAGCCATCTCTGCGTCCATGGCTGTCTGCCACTGAGAGAAGTAGGGACCGGCCATCGCCTCTGTGTAAGAGCGTGGGGTCGGGATGTCTGGTGCATCCGGGTCTCCCTTAGGTGCAACAAGCATGGACACGAGATGGGGCAAAGCAGCGGCAAAGCAATGAAACTCCTCCTGCCTGTCCTCAAGGACGTCAGTGCAAAGAGCACACTAACCCCCGACGGACGGAGGACAGTCAGACTCAGACTCAGCGACAAGGCTAGCAGCGTAGTCTAGACGACAGGCAGCAGCAAAGTCAACAAGCTCAGCGACTAGAGCAGACGCAGAAGAGGACTCAAAGGTAGGGTCAGTGACAACGGTAGCAAGGAAACGTGTGACAGTAGGACTGGCAGCACGAGCAAGGTCTGACGGCGGGTCAGCAACGGTAGGAAGAGAGGACGCAGGAGGAGACGGCAGAGGGACGCGCTGTGGAGCAGTGGACTGACGCAAGGTCATGTAGTGAGTGCCTAGGACAGGAGGAGGACGCTCACGTGGAACATGACGACTAGTGCGTGCAGTGCGGACATGCGACTCTGGACGAGACTCACAAGGCACAGGACCAGACTCAGGTGACGGAGGGCGAGACTCAGGCTCACGACGCTCCGTGAAGCTACCCGTCGGCGCAGTGTAAGGAGAAGGACCAGGCAGTGGAGAGGCTGGTTGTAACTGTGACTGCGACAGGACTGGTGGTGGACTCAGTAGAGGAGGAGGAGGAGGACCAGGAGGGGGCGGAAGGTCAAGAACGTGCTGAAGGAGTGGAACGTAGTACGGCCGTGGCCGCTCAGCAACTCCAGCTCCAGACTCCTCAGCAGCTCCAGTACCTCCAGTACCAGTAGCACCCCCAGCAGCTCCAGCACCAGTAGCACTAGTACCTGCAGCACTTCTAGTAGCTCCAGCAGTACCAGTACCAGCAGCACCAGTACCAGCAGCACCTCCCGCAGCTCCTGTAGCACCAGCACCAGCAGCACTAGTACTAGTAGTACCTCCAGCAGCTCCAGCAGTACCTCCAGCAGCTCCAGCAGCTCCAGCAGTACCAGCAGCACCTCCAGCAGCTCCAGCAGCACCAGCTCCAGCAGCACCAGCACCAGCAGCACTAGTACCAGCAGCACCTCCAGCAGCTCCAACAGCACCAGCAGCACCTCCAGCAGCTCCAGCAGCACCAGCTCCAGCAACACCAGCACCAGCAGCACTAGTACCAGTAGCACCTCCAGCAGCTCCAGCAGCACCAGCACCAGCAGCACTAGTACCAGCAGTACCTCCAGCAGCTCCAGCAGTACCTCCGGCAGCTCCAGCAGCTTCAGCAGTACCTCCAGCAGCTCCTGCAGCACCTCCAGCAGCTTCAGTAGCACCAGCAGCACCTCCAGCAGCACCAGCACCAGCAGCCCCAGTACCAGCAGCAGGGTCCACGACACCAGGCGCGCCACTCCTGAGAGTGCAGCGCCTTTCGTACCACTCACGGATCCGCTCAAGAGAGGGCAGCTCCCGCTGAGGCGGGGAAGTACCAGCACCAGTCCCAGTAGTACTCCTGGCTCTAGAGGCACCTCTCCTGAGGCTGCAGTACTGTGAGTACCACTCGTGCAGCTGCTCCGAGGAGAGAGCTCCGCCCGGTGTAGGACTCCCAGGCTCAGCACCCCCAGACTCCGGACTCCGCAGCTCAGCACCCCCAGGCTCAGCACCTCCAGTCTCAGCACCCCCAGTCTCAGCACCTCCAGGCTCAGCACCCCCAGTCTCAGCACCCCCAGGCTCCGCACCCCCAGGCTCTGCACCCCCAGCAGGACGAGAGTCAACAGCTACCTCAACAGGCTCAACCGGGTCTACCTGGGACACACCTGAGGGAGCGGCACCCTGAGGGGGGAGGGGGTCTACCATAGCAGCACCTGGCGCGAGGAAGAGAGGCGGGGGGGGGAGCGGGGCAGTGCGGTAGGGGAAGAGGCGGTAGTAGGGGACGGACTCGTCAAAGGTGACGTCCTGAGAGGGCAGGACCTGGCGCGAGGTGGCGTGGTAAAACCGCCAACCAGTTGCGTCAGGGACAAAGCCAAGGAAGACACAGGGAACATCACGAGAGGAGAGCTTGTCCGCGGACGTATCGCGGACAAAAGCTCGAGATCCCCAGACCCGGAAACGTGATGCACCGCCAACCTCCCCCGTCCACAGCAGAGTGGGCGAGGTCTCCGGCAAGGAGACACGGGGCCAGAGGTTGAGCTGACGCGCAGTGTATCGGACCGCAAACGGCCACAGAAAGTGGGGGGCAGCCGCATGGATCAAGGAGGTACGAGCGACCTCCATGACCAAGCCAATGCAGCGCTCAGCAACCCCATTCTGCTGTGGAGAGGCCGGAAGCGTGAACAACTGCTCAATGCCGTGGTCGGCACAGTAGGCTGTCAAGAGGGCAGAGGAGAACTCACCACCTCTGTCAGAGTGCAAGCGCAGGACAGGAAACTCCGAGCGAAAACGCTCACTGAGCTGAAGACGGGCTCTGCGGATCCAGGGGATCAAGACATTAGGGACCTCACCCTTGGTGCGCAAGGGGAAGACCGTGGTGTAGCGCAAGAAGTCGTCAACATAGATCAGGAAGTACCTCTCGTGACCCTAACCACGGACACGGGCTGGGCCCCACACGTCCATGTGGAGCGTCTGCAAGGGAGCAGTCGTCGGGGGAAACGAGGAGGAGTGAGGAGCGGCGCGCTGCCGCCCCTCGACACAGGGAAGACAGGTAGGAGCAGGCGAGGGTGGTAGGGGAGGGAGCACCCGGGGAAGACCAGAGACAAGGAACCGTTTGTGCATGGCACGAAGGCGCTGCACTGACGGGTGACCAAGTTGGTGGTGCCAGAGGACGGTCTCGTGTGCCAGAGAGCGACACGAGCAGGGGGCAGACAGCTGACCGGAGGCAGACGCAGACGCAGACGCTGCTACCTGAGGGGACTCAGTGGTCAGTGTGTACAGGTCCGACCCAGGCTCCCGAGTGAAGGTAGCCAAGTGGCAGCCCGTACGAGCACACGTGCAGTGTGTCACGCGCTCGTGGGCAGGGGTGAACTGGTGAACACCCCCGTCCTGAAGAGCACAACCTGCCACCAAGTTCGTAGAGAACGAGGGGAGGTGGAGACCTGACAGCGTGCCCGACGGGACCGCAGGACAGGGAAGGACAGTGGAAGAGGTCGCAATGACCGGACCCCCAGAGGGGTCAGCGAGGGAGACAGCAACTGGCCGAGCAAGCGGCTCAAGGGCAGTGCGGTCACGAAAGAAACAGCGGGACGCACCGGAGTCCAGTGTGAAGGTGTGCAGTGCGGCAGTCGACTCAGTACCAGGGGGGGCAGACGCACAAGCACCTAGAGCTGCTGCCTCACCAGCACCTGGGGTAGCTGACACGGGAGTACCTGGAGCTGCAGACGCACTAGCACCTAGAGCGGCAGCCGTACTCGTCCTAATGCCCGGGTCGGGCGGAACACACAGGTACTCAACACCCTCTCCACTAGTAGACATCACATACATGGCAGTGAGAATAGCATCAAAGTCTAGAGCATAGATATCAACCCCCTTCCTCCGGAGCGCAGCCCAGCGGGGCAGCTCAGTGGCCTGAGGGTACCGAACACGCCAAGCGTCACTGAGGCGAGCAAAGCACTGCTGCGTAGCATGCGGTCCCCCACACGTCTGACCAGTGCGGCCACCAATGCGAATGACGTACACGCAGCTAAGGCCACCCCCCCCCCCCCCCCCCCGTGCTGAGAGTACCACTCACGGGCCTCCTGGGGCGAAGGAGTGTGCTGCTGGCTCTGTCCACCGCCGGCGCCTCCACGACCATGACCGCCGCCACCACCTCCTCGACCACCCCAACCCCTGCCACCGCCGCGTCCACCGCCACCCCAACCACTGCCCCCTCCCCTGCCACCACCCCCGCCGCTACCACCACCACCGCCGCTGCCGCCGCCACCGCCGCTGCCACCACCACCTCCACCACTGCCACTGGCTCCTCCAGCCCCGCCACCACCCCCACCTCAACCACCGCCCCCACCACCGCCTTCCCTGCCGTCACCTCCGCCTCCCTTGCCCCCCTTGCCCTTGCCGTTGTGGTGTCCGCTTGAAGCAGACGCAGTACCGACCTTCTCAGCACGGAGGAGGTCGACAGCAGCAGCAGAGGCGACAGAGGGGAGAAGGGGGGAAGGGGAACACCCCTCGAAGAACGGGGTGCGGTGGTCGCCACGAGAGGCGCCTACAGATACAATACTCTTCTCAGCTGCAAGCAGTTCCTTCTCGAGGAGGGCAATGGTGAGCTCAGTAGGGCAGCTAGCGAGGAAGTGGTCCCTGACTGTACGCAGAGTGTCAGGGAGGCGGGTGACTCGGTGGTAGAGAGTGAGCCAAAGCGGGGGAGGGTGGGTGGTGAGGAACTCAGCGGGCATAGCAGCACGGAAGCGGGCCTCACTAGTGCGGAGGTGAGTGATGAGGTCAACGACTGTGTGGAAGGAGGCCAGGTCGGGGAACAGGTAGGGGAGGGAGAGACGGCCAAGAGCGGCAGAGGCAGGTGAGGAGTAGCGGGCAACGACAGCAGTGTACAGTGCCTGTGCAGTCTTGTGTGTGCCAAAGTGCTCGCGTTCATCTATCTGCAGGGAGTTGCGGATAGCAAAGCGAGCGTGGGCGTCACGAGTCTGCCACTGTGAGCGGGTGGTGCTGTCAGCAGTAGTAGCAGGTGCAGATGCATTGCCTAAGGCATGATCGTACAGTGAGATGTCCTCCTTGGCAGTGAGCTGTAGGAACAGGTGCAGGTCATCGAGCAAGGTGTCAAACTTCATTGGGCGGCCCTCTGCATCGAAAGCCAGTACAGGAGGGCTAGCCATAGCAGCAGCAGAAGCAGCAGTAGGAGTAGCTGTAGGGGCTGCTCAGTTCGGGCGGCGCGGCTCGGTTCAGGTAGGGCGGCGCGGCTCGGTTCGGGTCGCGCGGCTTGGCTCGCGTCGCGCGGTCCGTGTCGAGAGTCTAAGGAATTAAGAGTTGAAAGGTGGGGCCTAGGCTTAGTAGCCTAGGCCCGAACTTAGGTATCGAGCGGTTTCCCTAGGCGACGTGTCGAGTGAGTTGGGAGGAAGAAATTGGAGAATGAGTTTCACTATAGGTTTCAAGAAACATATAGCATAGGAAACAAAGTTGGTGCACCACCTACAAAGTACAATAACTACACTACAACTACAAGCAGTTACAAAATATGACAAACATATTTCGACAGTCCGGCTCGGGTCGCGCTGCTCAGCTCGGTCCTAGAGGGGCTGTGGCCGTCGCGGGCCGTTTGGGGCCGCTAAGGGAGGGCGCGGGGCCGTTCGGAGCTAGCGCGGGGCCGACGGGGGCCTTAAGGGGCTAGCGCAGGGCCTGAAGGGGCCGTGAGAGGCTAGCCCGGGGCCGCACGGGGCCGTTCGGGGCTAGCACGGGGCCGTTCGGGGCTAGCGCGGGGCCGTTCGGGGGTCGTGAGAGGCTAGCGCGGGGCCGACAGGGGGCCTTAAGGGGCTAGCGCAGGGCCTTAAGGGGCCGTGAGAGGCTAGCGCGGGGCCGCGCGGGGCCTTAAGGGGCTAGCGCGGGGCGTGAAGGGGGCCGTGAGAGGCTAGCGTGGGGCCGACAGGGCCTCTAGGGAGGTGAGCGCGGGGCCGAAGAGGTCGCTAAGGGGCGACGCACGGGGCCGTGAGGGGCCTTAAGGGGCGACGCGCGAGGGCCTTAGGGGGCCTTAAGAACGAGGCGCTCTAGGCGCAGGTAGGTAGGTAGGTAGTGGTGGGCCCTTAAAAAAAATTTCGGTCCTAGCGAAGGACCTGCTCTGAAACCATGTCAAACGTACGAAACAGGAATGAATGAACTAGAAGTGAAATGAGTACAAGTACCTAACCCTAAAATTGTGTACCCTCTATAGGCTAACCCACTATAGCCTAAACAAGCACAACATATAATGTTTGACACACCCTCTCCCTTTCCCTCTCTCCCCTTCCCTCTCTCCCCTTCCTCTCTCCCCTTCACTCTCTCCCCTTCCCTCTCTCCCCTTCCCTCTCTCCCTTTCCTCTCTCCCCTTCACCCTCACCCTTTCCCTCTCTCCCCTTCCCTCTCTCCCCTTCCTCTCTTCCCTTCACCCTCTCCTCCTCCTGTCGGGAGCTGTTCTCAGGTCAGCCCATCCACGCCATCAGCAGCTCGCTCCTCTCCCACCCCTCCACCAACCCATTCACCCATTATCGCAACCGTCCCGCCACACCACTTCGCGACTCTCCCCTTACCCTCGCATCACGCCCATCCCTTTCTCTTCGCTTCCAGCCATGTCGCGTCGTTTCCTGTAATGTCGCGTCACTGCTTATTGAGTCCTAACCCTCGCCTTTCAGCCGCGTCGCTGCTTATCCAGTCCTAACCCTCGCCTTTCCGTCGCGTCGCTTCCTATCTCGTCCTAACCCTCGCCTTTCCGTCGCGTCGCTTCCTATCTCGTCCTAACTGCTCCCTTTCTGTCGCGTCGCTTCCAATCTCGTCCTAACTGCTGCCTTTCCGTCCCGTCGCTTCCTATCTCGTCCTAACTGCTGCCTTTCCGTCGTGTCCCTTCCGTCCAAATTCGACAGGGGGGAGCGTTACTGCAATACACCTTGGTCCAAATAGAGTGGTGCATCTTATTGCAATAATGAGGACCAGCTCTGGCGATGGACGGACTATACGTGCGTAAAAGCAAATGCAGGCGCGGAGTGACCAAAGATAGAAATAAACAACGACAACGAGAGGTACAAGGCGCCGTGACGAGGCGACGGGAGGGAGGGGGGGGGTTCACATTCTGACACACCATTCTGACACACTCCCATAGCCAAAATGGGGTGTAATCAGCAGAGCACACTCTCATAGTTCACAAATGTAAGCAAACCTAGAGGCTATCACAGAGGGCTAGCGAGGAGGAGGAGGGACTATGAGAGGAGAGGAGGTAGTGGGCGGCAGCTGAAGCTGCTGGCACACGGCGCAACTGGAGCAACTAGCATACGGGCAACAGGAGCAACTGGCACACAGGCAAAGGGCTCACGGGCGACTGGAGCGACAGGCTCACGGACGACTGGCGCAACGGTCTCACGGGCGACTGGAGCTGCTGGCTTCACGGCGGCCACCCCCTTTCAACCTCCCCCTTTGTCCCAAAACTCCCGTTCATACATCCCTTGCTGCACCCCTAGCTTCACTCCCACGACACCCCCCTTAAACCCAAAACCCTCGGCTCCCACACACCCACCCCCCTCAGCGGCAGCTGCAGCAGTGGGAGACGGAGGAGGAGGAGGAGCTGCAGGTTACCCACTCCGGTCACCCCCATGCCCGCCACCCCCAAACCCTAATGCAGGCAGGAGCTCGGGAAGCAGCAGGGGCGGTTCACGGAGGGAAAGGGAGGCGGCGGGGGGGTCTCCTGGGCGCCACGAAGGAGCACGGCGCAGGCCCCCCGAGGGCGCCACGGCGGGCGACGGGATGGGCCGCGCGCGGGCCCCCAAGGTGCTGCGACGAGGCGACGAGAGGGGGCGGCGCGCGGTCCCCCACGACGCCGCGACGAGGCGACGGGAGGGGGCGATGCGCGGGCCCCCAAGGCGCCGCAACGAGGCGACGGGAGGGGGTGACGCGTGGGCCCCCAAGGTGCCGTGACGAGGCGACGGGAGGGGGGGGGGGGGAAGCGCGGGCCCCCAAGGCGCCGCGACGAGGCGACGGGAGGAGGACGACGGCGGGCAGCGCGCAAGTCCCCGGGGGCGCCACGATGGGCAGGAAACTGCCGCGCGCCTCGGGGCGCACGGCGGGCAGAAAACCGCCGCACGCCCCGAGCGCACGGCGGGATGAAAAAAAAAAAAAAACGCCGCATGCTCCGAGTGCGCGGCAGGAAGAAAGGGGTCGCGCGCCCGGGTCGCGTGACAGCAGTAGAGTTGCGGAAGCATCGGGTGAGGCCCACCCACAGGATCGACCCAGGAGGGTCGACCTGCTCTGATAGCATGTCAAAAGTCTAGGCAGAAAGTTTAGAAGCAGAAAAGAGGGGTTGCACTAGCAAGCAGTTGAGTACATATAGGAAACCCTAGATTGGACTCTACTCGCTAGAGAGTACCCCACTGCAGGCTAGACAAATACAACATTCTGACAAGTGGGGGTGGGGGAAGGTGAAGGGGTGACATGGGTGACCTGACAACCGCGTGAAGCTACTTTTCTTCTCTTTCTTTGTGTGTTTTCGATGGGCATCTCTGATTCACTTATTGCTTGTCCTGCTTGCTGTGTCTGCTCGCCTGCCTTGCGCCTACCAGACGTTCGCGATTAGTTGCTGCCTGGGCAGTCGCCAAGCGCCAACCTATTCGCGCTATTTGCCGCAGGCAGTTAGGGGGTGTGTCAAACAATATATTCTCAGGAAACGTGCACAACAGAATGATGAAACTAGAAAAGCAAGGCAGTACAAACATGACAAACCTAACAGAGTTATACTCACTAAAGAGCACCTCACTATAGCATATAACAAATAATAACATTTGACACACTCCCATAGGTTAAGTGAGGGGCATCAAAGCAAGCAAAGAAAACAAACGGTCATAAGACCAGTCAAGACAAGAAACAAAACAAGCTTAGGATGTATCTCAAGATCACCACGCAGTCCGAGCACAAGCAAGTGGCCACAAGGCCAGTTCATGAGTTCACAATCATAAATAGATGCAACAACAAGCAGAGCAAGCAACAAGAACAAGGCTACTGCAAGCGAGCAACGGAGTCAACAAGTCCTAACTGCACACAGAACATGTGGTGGTCACCAAGCGCCAAGGCCGCCTTGATGAAGATGTCTGCGGTGTTGGCCTCTAAGGCCACGAAGTCCAGGCGCGCCTAGCCGCGACGCTGTAGCTCTTGCAGGAGGAAGTACCTCACGTCAATGTGCTTCACCCTGCTCTCCCGTCCAGGCTCGCGACACAAGAGAATCATGGCCTTGTTGTCAGCGAACAAGGCCAGAGCAGAGCGAGGCCGCTCACCAAGGTCGGCAAGCAAGAAACCCTAAACCCTGAACGGAGTGGACCCGTGCGAACAAACAGCAACGGGTCGACAGAGGAGGGGTGAAACCTGAGGTCATGAAGCGTAGAGCGAAGAGTGTCGTGCCACTCAAGAGGCAACTGGTAGAGACCGTAGACTGGTCGCCTCAGGCTCCACTGGGTCCCAGGTGGGAAGGTGCCAGTGAAGCTCGAAGGACGGTGCAGCCAGATCTCCTCGTGCAGCCGTCCCTGAAGGAAAGAAGTGGAGAAGTCGAGGGAGTGCAACTCGTAGACTCGCCGTGCTGCTACGTGAAGTAACACCTAAAGAGTAGTCATCCTCGGGGTCGGGGCGAAGGTCTGAAAGAAGTTAACTCCCTCGTGCTGTCTGAAGCCCTTCGCCACATAGCGCGCCTTGAACACCGATGGTGATCCAGGTAGCC